GTGTCAATTCATACAAAATTGGTATGATATTCGCAACTGCAAACTTCGCTTACAATATTGCAGATGATCATAATAAGCCGTGTAAGCGTTGTCGCGTCCCTTCATCGCATGATCAAATCAACGGCTAGCTTTCGGACAGCGCAATTTTCAAAATAGAGAAAAATCCACGAAATTGAAACGCGAACTATGCTTGAAGTATTTATCTTGCTTGAACATCCGGAGTGAGCTCTGTAAATGCCGACACGTTGTCTACTCTCTCACGTGTAGAGGCATCACCGAAACGTTACTCAATAGGAATAATATTGGTGAATGCGCCGCGCAGAACGTCAGCAGACGCATTTTGTGCGTGAAATTGATAACCTTACCAACTTTGATTGTTTTATAGCTTTTCTAACGCAATAGCACAGAACATTAATATAGCGTAAATGGTTAGAAAACTGTCACTGAAAGCTAAAGACTAACCCTTGCGCCTAGACTAATATTAATGCAGGGGAAATCTACCACCTAGTTTAGCTTGGAGAAATCGGAAAGACCAAACTCCTACACGAATGCAGGCTCCTAGCGAATACAGCGAATGATGTTGTTGCTAACAGTTACTCTTTCCATCCTTCGACAATCACCGGCTACAGGGGCGAATGAACTGGCCAGAGCCGCAAGTCTAGATTGGTTGTTCTAATTAGGCTGTTGGGCGCAAAATTTCGAAACGAATAACTGAGTAATGGGAAAAGGTCAGCGCCCAGCAATGTGTCCAGGATGGAGGTGTGGGCGGTCTAAGAGAAACGTTTCACAAATAAGTGACTAAACGGACGCTTCAAACTGAATGCTTAGAGGTATTCACATTTGTTTAGCTTATATATGATCCATGCTTTTCGCGCTAGCGGTGTACTATCCTAGTGCTGTACTATACTACCCGCCACACCTCGGCCACAACCTTTTGGTTCATGGACCGATTTGAGAATCTGGTGAAAGCTTACTGGCTCTCTGCCCCGCAGTAAAAAATCACATTATGCGCATAAACAGGAAAAATTTGAGAATTCCCTGTCACTTTACCGCCCTGTAAATCCATCCCACCTGACCCTAAACAGTCCATGGACCACAGTTAAGAACTCTCTTCTCTAGTTGGATGTACTTATCTATTGATGTAGATTAGAAGGTATAGCCAATTTCATTCCACTATTCTCTCCACAACAGCCAAAGAGGCATTGTCCTGTCTGCAATGCCGCTGGCGCGCTGGGCCTCGAGTGGTTGTGTACGCGAACTGTCATCGCTATGTGCGGTTCTTGTAATGTATGGTGCTTGACGTTGTGTATTATATATATGATATATATATATGTAAACGTATAAGTAATACCGTGTATATAGATATATATAGAGTGTACAACGGAAAATACGGGAAAACTAAGTGCTATATATATAAGTCTCTATAGCCTCTCTAGTTCACATCTCTATGAATACCCGATGAGGCGTTCTCGCAACGACGTCATATAAGATATTAAGCGCGGCGACTCTAGAGTAAGGACAACAATCAGTGACCTCTAGCGGCGTGCTCTCGGCGGACATGGCCGTGAAGCCGACGATGTCGCTGAAGTAGATCGTCGCCGCCTCGAACGACTCCGGGTCGACGGCCTCTCCCCTCATCAGCTGCCGAGCGACGGGTCTGAAGTAACAAGCACACGTCGGCGTCAACGTCGTCGGCATCCACCACGGCTGCACCCCCGTCGTCGCCACCGGCAACCGCCGCCCCCGTCGTCGGCAACGACGACCTCCCTCCCTCGTCGTCGGCACCGCCCCCCCTGCCGTCGCCACCGACAACCCCCCTCTGTCGTCGCCACCAATCATCTCCCTCCCTCGTCGTCGGCACCCTCCCCCGTCGTCGGCACCGATCAACCCCCGTCGTCGTCGTTGCCACCCCCTCCGTCGCCGTCGGCGCAAAACGTCGACGGACGTAATATCGACTGCCGACGCGTCGATATTTATTACGCAACCGTGGCAACTCCGGACAGAGCTCAGCCGACGCGCGTGTTTGTTTTGGCGACGACGCCGACGACGACCGTCGCCACTGAATTGAAATCGTTTCGCTCGTATTTGGGACGAAAGCGAGTGAGCAAACATGGCGGATAACGCCGAGCAAACCACGGCTGAGATAAATCAGTGAGGGGAGGGGGAGGGGGACCCGACGCATGACGGTGATTCTACTAGGAGCATCTATTCGATTTTATTATATTCTATTAATGTGATTCTTCAATTTCTACGAGGAGCAAACATGGCGGACAAAGCCGAGCAAACCACAGCTGAGATAAATCAGTGAGGGGGAGGGAGAGAAGGGGGAGGGGAGGGGCAGAGGAAGGGAGAGGGAGGAGACGGGGACCCGACGCAACGGTAATTCTACTAGGAGCATCTATTCTATTCAATTATACTCTATGAATGTGATTCTGCAATTTCTACGAGGAGCAAACATGGCGGACAAAGCCGAACAAACCACGGCTGAGAAAATAAGTGAGGGGTGAGGCAGGGAAGGGGAGAGCGAAGGAAGGAGGAGGGAGGGGAGGGGATGGGAAGGAGTGAAGGGATGGGAACGTGGATGGGAAGGGAGGGGGAGGGGAGGAGAGGGGAGGGAAGAGGAGGGGAGGGGAGATAGATAGGAGGGAGAAGGGAAAGGAGGAGGGATGGAAAGGGGGAGGGAGAGGAGGGGATAGAGGGAGGGTGAGGGGGAAGGGGAGAAGATGGGAAGGAGGATGGGAAGGGGAGGGGAGGGGAAGGGAGCGGAGGGTACGGGAGAGAGGGAGAGAAAGGAGAGGAGAAAGAGGAGAGGGATGGAAGGAGGGGAGTGAAGAGTGAGGGGAGAAGAGGGGGAGGAAGGGGGTAGTGCGACGCATGACGGTAATTTTATAGAAGAAACGTAATCGAAAAACATAAGTGATCGCAGAACGATGGTTGCCTTACTGCGCGTATTGCGGAATACTAGAAACTACAAAAAAAAACAGTGGTGACAGTGTTGCTTATTGTGGGAAGCTATAGAAAAAAGCAGAAGTTACGGTTCGTGTAACGGACATCGTTTGTTATTGCCCATTGTAGAAAACAGCAAAAAAACACAACGGCTGTGCTATTATTGTACAGAAAGCTTAAAAAGCGCTGAAATATTACAGTTCGCCGGGCGAGCAATGGTTGTGATCCTGCGTATTGCATACAACGAGACAAATGCATTAGTTGTGGTGCTGCATATTGCAAAAAGCTGAATTCGTCTTGAATTTATGCGTTTTGAATAGCCGATGGTTCTGCGATGGAAAGCATGTCAAATCATTTCACCATGTAAATCTGCTTTTCCGATCCACGAAATACCTGAATGGTCTCGCGCCCCCCACCCTTCCTACGATCTCTAGCTCTCTCTCGTTCTTGCTTGCGCGCTCTCTCTCTCTCTCTCTTTTTCTCTCTCTATCTATCTATCTATCTATCTATCTATCTATCTATCTATCTATCTATCTATCTATCTCTCTATCTATCTATTTATCTATCTATCTATCTATCTATCTATCTATCTATCTATCTATCTATCTATCTATCTATCTATCTATC